GCCCAGCCAAATCGACACAAAACCTTAACCACCACAGTATCCATAGTATATTCAGGTAAACACATAACCTTTTTAAAACTTTCCAGTTTCATCTTCTCTTCTCCACACGTTGCCTATCTTCCCATTCATATGTATATGGCCTTGGGCCTCTGGCTGGGTGGAACAAGACCATGGCCCCCTATCAATCATCTTGCTTAACTTGCCAGGCTTTTGCACCAAACCACTCCAGATGCAGCTTTTCTCCCCTCAGCTACAGCGTAATATCTCTCACTTTCCTGTCAGCCATTACAGATAACAACAACCAAAATAACCATCTAAGAATCGAAAGTTTCACTTCCCACGCACTTTCATTCTTTCTCTTCCAAAGTACCACGCTTCCGTGAGTCTGGAGCCATTGCAGCAAATCCCACTTCTGACTCTATCTGTAAAAATGGCACAGTGGCATCATCATCCGGCCTCTTCCTCTAACTTCACAAGGTGGGAGGAGAATCATTATCGATATCAACACCCTAAGGCTGATTCCTATGTGGTAGAGGTCAGACATACCTCCGCTCTCCAACTTTTTTATCAATTCTGACACCAGCCGTCTCTCACACAGCGCTCTCTACTTCTCTGGTGGGTTCGATAATTCATTGCAATGGCCACACAGAATTCACAGACCATTCTCAGAGTTATGGAGTTTATTAAGGAAGTATCAGATTACAATTTAGGATCAGGAATGACTCAGGATACAGTTCTTCGGTCAGAATAGCTTCTCAGCTGTGCCCACAAGCAGGGCTCTCGCTGACCTTCCAAATCTCAGCCCTCAGCCCCTCGGCCCCTCATGCCTCTTGGGCTTTTTGGGCCGTCTCAGCTTTTGCCATGTTCAAGCAAGTGTTGCAAAGCTCTTTAGCTCCACCATAAGTGTCCAGAGGCACCCTACTCCACTAGCAAGCCTCCTGCCCAAAGGCACTCAGCTTTCTCTCTCTTGGGCCAGGAAGCATGTCGCACCATCTCCTCCCGGTCTCCTGGTTGTGCTGCCTTTGCTGCCTCCATTGCTCTGCTGCTGATTCTCATCTGTCACCATCTCTAGTGTTACAGCTCTCTGTCTCTGTCTCCTGGGTCTAGGAGGTTCTCAGTACAGGGATCCTGGGTCCAAAGGACAAGCTCCACTCCTAGCTCTTCTTTCTTGGTGGCAGTGAAGTATCTCCTTTCTGCCTCTGGGATGGCTCATTTTAAGCCTAGAGGGATGGCAAAACTGATACATTCCCCCATACACCTTATTTGCATGGTCCCAGCCCCACAAGAGTGCCATGCTTCTTATTTGCATTATTAGCAAGTTGTCCAATCCCCTTGATGGGCCACAAGCACTTTGTTTGCGTAGTCCTATCCAATCATTTGGTGGGAATTACAAGACCATCGTGAGAAAGGCCAAATAAAATCAATCATTGCACCGCAAATATTCTACTGGTCCCATAATTAATTAATGAAATTAAAACCTTGACACATGTTCATTTTAAATTCATATACAAGTCAAGATTTTACCTGTTTTTAAAAAGTATCTTTTAATATGTCAGTCAGTCATCACATTCAGTGTTAATGTAATGTTTAAATATACACTTTCGTTTTTGGCACAACATGGACACTAACCATAATTTATGTAATCTGGACCTCAGAGAAACAGCCATTTGTCTGAACAGGGGATATGTGGCAATAGGATTTAGTGAGAGAGACGGTATTTCAGTCTCTAACATGGCACTTTCCTAAGGCATTTTCACAGGTAATTCTGGCCAAAATAATGTTTGTCTTACTCTCCACCATATTGGTAAGAAAGGGTCACCACCTGGGGGTCAGCAAGAAAGAAACTAGTATTTTCCCAGCTGGGGGCTGGCTGCAAAACAGACTGGAACTGAAAATCTCCCCATGGTATTGGTTTATCTACTGCTGAAGGGCACAGCTGTGGCATACTTTCCTGGGTGTGGTTTGCACACCAAGTCTCCACACACAGTGAGGAAAGAGATGATGTCCTCCAGCCGGTGACCTTGAGGGCACTGGCCTCTGAGAGACTCAAGGCAGAGCAGAGGCAGAGAAAACAGAGAACCAGGTGTGATTCCAGGAGTCCTTGAATAGTGCAAATGGTTAAGCATGTAACTACTAACTGAAAGGTTGGAGGCTCAGACTCACTCAAAGTTGCCTCAGAAGAAAAGATTGGCGATTTACTTCCAAAACATCAGCCACCGGAAAATCCCTCTCTGACATACATGGGTCTCCATGAGCCAGAATCTGCTTTATGACAACTGTTTGGTTGTTTTAGTTGGGCTTGATGCCAAAGGCAAGGTTTGAAGAGGATTGCCTGTTTCCCTTAGAAATCAAGCCCACGCCTCTGTTTTTCAGTTTAGGAGGGCTGAGGAAGTCAGGCCCCAAGAATGCACTAGGGTCTTCTCTTTCTACGCGTCCTTAGCAGGCTTATCAGATGGTTCCTGTCAGACCAAGGAAATAGGATGGGACAGGACGGAAGAGAAAGCAAAGGCGTTGAAGTAGCCACAGGAGAATCGTGTCTGGGTGGAGACACAGAATCACAGGATGTCATAGCTGGAGGAGCCTGAGAGGTGATCTGTCCAAGCCCCTCATTTTACAGAGGAGAAAACTGAGGCTTCATAGGGAAGTGAACTTGCCCTGGATCATGCAGACACAGAGCCAGACCCTGGTTTCCTCTCTCCTAGCATGCTTTGTTTCCTGCATGAAGGAGTCCATGGACTCTTTCAATCTTTCCCTGCTCTCCCCACCAGTTCAGCCCCTCTCTGCTCTGCTGTCTTTTCTCACCACAATAAGAGCAATTCCTGGAGTCTCATCCTTCCAACTTCCCTCTCCTGGGAAAGGGGTTTAACAGGGCAGGGATTTCTGGGTAGCGAAGGGTTAAACAGTCAGCCTAGGCAGACTCCCCACCCCTGGAAGACTGGAACCTCAGAAGGAAGAGGTCTCAGCCCTCAGGGGGCCCTTGGATTATCTGCCCCAGAAACTGGAAGGAAGTAGAAAGGAGACTTAAAAAGAGGAGGGCAGCAAGACCTCTGATCTACAAAGATTCAGGATCAGCTGTGTGGTCCCAAAGAAGAAAAAAAAAAAGTCAGGGTAGGGTGTGGTAACTCACAAGTATAAAATTAAAAATTCTACAGTGAACATAAAATTATGTACATTTTTCTGAAACTTTCCTCCATCACCACCTCAAAATCCAACAGTAGTCCACCCATAACTGTCCACTCTTTCTGCTCCCGCTCTCCACCAGTCACAGGGCAGACATCCAGTGAAAGGCTATTAATGTTATGGTGAGGGAGGCCCCTCAGGAGCAGGACCAGCTCCCTAGGTAGCTAATTGTTTCTCTGGGAAATTATGGTGTGAATCCTACCCACCCTCAGGCCTCCCTTCCTTCTTCCGAACACTTGCCAAGGAAAATTTTAAATTTTAAGAAAGATGAAACCAAATATTTCAGCACCACCCACCCCTCTCCCCAAGGCAAGGGTGAGCTTCACCAGGGGAAAATCCATAAACCAAAGAAAAAAATGCATCCAACTGTGGAACTTCAGCCTTCCTGAAAGGGTGTAAAACAGTTTAGGGGTGATGTTCCTTCCCCTTTCACCCAGGCTGCCCAAGCTCAGTTGCAAAATGCCTCCTGTCTTTCAGTAAAGGGAAGTCTGGTCTAATAGAGCAAACATTCCACTCCTCATTCCTGTGTGACCTTGGAAAGGTCAAGTTCTGTCTTAATTATGAAACTTAAAACCCCAGGGCCTGTGAAAAAACTCAGTAGTATTTAACATATTTTTTCAGTTAAATAGAGTTGGAGAAGTGGAGAAAGACTCCAATTCACCATGGATAGAAAGTTACCTCATTAAAAGAAGTCTAATCTCTCGTTACTTCAAGGCTCCTTGTTACTTCACAAACTTCCTGTTTTACAGTGGCTCTGTAATCCATCAAATTTCATATAATTCCCTGCAAATTCAGTCAGTAGCTGGGATATGTCAAAAATATATATAACAATAAAACCTTTAAGGCTTTCACCAGAATTCATAATTTACTAGGTCTTATTTTCTTCATTTTTATTTAATTTCTTTATACATGTAAACATATAATCTTACACACATTCATAAATGTGATATCACGCGGCCTTCTCTGCCACAATCTTTTCTTTCAGTTCCCTTTTTCTGCATAACTCCCCATCCTCCCTGTCCTCTCCCTTCCTTTTCTCTACTTCCTCCTTTCCTCTTCTGCCCCATTCTCACCCCCTCCTGTAACCCTGTTATCAGTTACATACCTTTCCTTGTTTCTCTCTTTCCTCTTATAAATATTGGAGGCTGCTATTTCTTTTACATCCCATTGTATTCTGCATCTTGTTATTCTTACCACATATTACTTCATGAAAAATCCCTGCTGGTCAATTGTTCTGCTTGTTTTCTGAAGGTTCCATGATATTCCATGGTATGGATATGCCCCTGTTTATTCAGTCATTCCCACATTGATGGGCATCCCCTTTGTTTCCAGGATTTGCCCAGACCAAGAGTGAGCACTCACTCTCCTTTTGTGATGGAGAAGATCCAGAAGTCCAGACCAGAGGATCTTCCTCAAGGCCCTAGGGCAGCTCCATCCCCAGAAGTGCTCAGTCCCCACTGCCCTCTGCTCCATATGCCAGCTTCTTTGTCTCCACCCCTTTCCCCAAGCAGCTCTAGGTACCCTGGGCTTCTCTGCCATTGCAGCAGAAGCAGCCTCACCTCTGTATCTGGGTTCCTTTAGTGCAGCCCAAGCTGCCCAGGCACAGGGGTTCCAGCCTTGTCATCACTAAAAGTCTGTTCTATTCTTTCTGGTCTCCCGAAGGCTTTAAAGGCACACTGCATTTGTTAAATGACAACAGCGTCATTTTCTCTTTTGGTTCACCAAGAACAAAAGAAACCTGAACAGCCCTCCTGGTGGTCAGCCCTGTTATCCTGAGTCCACTAAGTTGCCCTTCTTCGCAGAGAGCCAAGGCCACTCACCTAGAAGGATGAAGAATCCTAGGAGCCAGGAGACCCAATAGAGGTGGGGGTCTTCTGAGCAGGACCCCATCACGGGCTGTTAGCCAGCCTGCTGAACTGCTGCCACACATCAGAGGAAGCAGAGACCAGAGAAGAGGAAAAGCCTGAGCTGCGGAGCTGTTCAAACATCTTCCTCACCACGCCTAGTCAGGGCGGAGCCAAGCCTGGAAACACAAATACAGCCAGATGGCTGACCACTGGCTACCAGTTACTTCTGGGAAGGCAGCCCCACCAGTCTAGAGAAAGCAAATCAGCTTTTTCATCTTCTCTCCAGCTCCCAGAGTAGGTACTCAGTAAATAATTGTACAGTAAATATATAAACAAATTCACTTTATGGTGTGCCTGGCCCTGTATCGGAGCTGAGTCCACTCCAGCAGTCACAGCCAGTTTGGTATACATGCTCTCACACACACACACACACTCACCCTTAGCTGCTTAGAGTTTAAAAGCTCAACACCAGACAACCCTGCTCACAATGCCAGCCTACAAAACCAAACCAAACCCTGTTGCCATCGAGTTGATTCCAACTCACAGCAACCGTAAAGCAGTCATACACAACTATAAGCTTCAATGGCAATGGTGAGGTAAGCTTCCATGGGTTCAGTGACTGTCCCCTGTCCCTACCCCATCTAATGAGTCAAATTTTCTTTCTTATTCTCCTTAAACTTTAACTGTAGGTGGCCTAATTAAGAAACTGTGGGAAAAAGAACAAAGCTCTTTGTGAGAAAGGTTAACTCTCTACCTCACCAATGCAAATATTGATCTTTCAACAAACTGATGATGTGGAAGCATCAAAAGAAGATGGAAGGAATATACAGAGTCACTGTACCAAAAAGAATTGGTCATCATTCAACCATTTCAGGAGGTAGCATATGATAAAGAACTGATGGTACTGAAGAAGTCCATGTTGCACTGAAGGCACTGGCGGAAAGCAAGTCTCCAGCAACTAATGGAATACCAAATGAGAAGTTTCAACAAATGGCTGGAAGCACTCACTCGTCTATGCCAAGAACTTTGGAAGACAGCTACCTGGCCAACCGACTGGAAGAGACCAATGTTAGTGCCCATTCCAAAATAAAGGTGGTCCAACAGAATGCAGAAATTATCCAAAAAAATCATTAATATCACACGCAAGTAAAATTATGATGAAGATAATTTAAAAATGGTTGTAGCAGTAAATCAACAGGGAATTTTCAAGCCAGATTCAGAAGAGGACATGAAATAACGGATATCACTGCTAATGTCAAATGGATCTTGTTTGAAAGCAGAGAATACCAAGATGTTTACTTGTGTGTTGTTGACTACGCAAAGGCATTCAACTGTGTGGATCATAACAAATTATGGATAACATTGTGAAGAAAGGGAATCCCAGAACACTTAATTGTGCTCATGTGGAACCTGCACATAGATCAAGAGGCAGTTGTTCAAACAGAACAAGGGGATACTGCGTGGTTTAAAATCAGGAAAAATATGTGTCAGGGCTGTATCCTTTCACCGTACTTATTCAATCTGTATGCTGAGAAAATAATCCAAGAAGCTAGACTATATTAAGAAGAATGAGGCATCAGGATTGGAGAAAGACTCATGAACAATCTGTGATATGCAGATGACATAACCTTACTTGCTGAAAGTGAAGAGAACTTGAAGTACTTACTGATGAAGTTTAAAGACTACAACCTTCAGTATGAATTGTCCTTCAACATAAAGAAAACAAAAATCCTCACAACTGGACCAATAAGCAACATCATGATAAACAGAGAAAAGTTGTCAAGGATTTCATTTTACTTGGATCCACAATCAACACCCATGGAAGCAGCAGTCAAGAAATCAAACAACGTACTGTATTGGGCAAATCTGCTTCTAAAGAGCTCTTTAAAGTGTTAAAAAGTAAACATGTCACTTTGAGGACTAAGGTGTGCCTGACCCAAGCCGTGGTATTTTCAATCACCTCATATGCATGTGAAAGCTGGACAATGAATAAGGAAGATCGAAAAAGAATTGATGCCTTTGAATTACAGTGTTGTTGAAGAATATTGCATATACCAAGGGCTGCCAGAAGAATGAACAAATCTGTCTTGGGAGATGCACAGCCAGAAAGCTCCTTAGAAATGAGAATGGTGAGACTTCATCTCACAAACTTCGGACATGTTATCAGAAGGGACAAGTCCTTAGAGAAGAACATGATGCTTAGTAAAGTAGAGGGTCAGTGAAAAATGAAGACCCTCGATGAGATGGATTAACACAGTGGATGCAACAGTGGGCTCAAACATAGCAATAATTGTGAGGATGGGACAGGACCAGGCAGTGTTTCATTCTGTTGTTCAAAGGTCACTATGTCGGAACCACCTCAACAGCACCTAACAACAAAAACACATTTTGCTGGCAGTCATTAGCTTTCTCGGTGCCAGGTTTAAGTACTGTTCCCTATTATACACTAAGAAACAAACAAACCAGTTGCCGTCTATTCAATTCCAACTCATGGCGACCCATGTGTTTCAGAAAAGAACTGCACTCCATAGGATTTTCAATGGATGTGACCTTTTGGAACTAGATGGCCTGGCCTTTCTTCTAAGGCACCTCTGGGTGGATTTGAATCTCCAGTCTTTATGGTTAATTGCCCAGCACTTAACTGTTTGAGCAACCTAGGGACTCCTTATATACTCAATGCAAATCTAAACCCCCACAGAAGCTGATAGACTCTTGGCTTTATTACAGCCATGAGCCCTGCTATTTTCTCATAGGAGCTTGGATAGAGAACCATAATAGTAACTCCTGGCCACCTCAAACTCTCCCCAGCTCCCTCAAACTCACGGCTGCCTACTGATCCTCAGTCCCTGGCCTTTTCTCTCCAGACCGGGATGCCCCCACAACATCGCAGAGCTCCCACATCCCATTAACCTGGTGGAGCAGCACCATCTTCCTAACCTCTGGACAGTGCTTCCATCTCCTTTCCAGAAACTTAGCCCTTAGCTGGCCAGGTAGAACTCCCAAAAGCATGGATCAGCAGGACTGGCCCCACAACCATATACTCAAAGTAGTCAGAGCACTACTTATAAAATCTATTTAACAGATGGGAAACCCGAGTCTTAGAAGTTGTTATAAATTGAATTGCATCCCCAAAAATTCATGTTGAAGTATCTGTGAATGTGACTATGATGGTTAAAGTTGTGTCAACTTGCCTGACCAGGATTCTCAGTGGTTTGGCAGTTATGTAATGATGTAATTTGGCAGTTACGTAATGAAGTAGCCATCCTCCAGGATGTGATCTGATATGATCAGCCAATCAGTTGTAAGGGAGTTTCC